TACAAAGTTTAAAGTTATTTATTTTGAAAATTTCTAATAAAATTTTTATTTTTTACTTAATAAAGTTAATAAAAAATATCTTAAATTATATTTTTTATAATATAAGTAAATTACAAAAATTAATATTTAAAATTTTTTAAAATTTTAAATATATAGACAAATTTGCCTGTATTAAAATTTAAGGAATAAATTTTTTTCTGATTTTTTTGAAAAATTTTATCTACCTTAGTTTGATTCTGAATTTCTAATTATATTGAAATTTGTAAATAATAATTGACTCAAAATTTGAATTAGTTAATTTATATATAGCAAAAAATATAAACAAAACATATAACTTCTATAAACTTTATTTTGTATAATAATAAATTCAATAATACTATTGAATACAATAAAAAGAACAAGATAACAAAATATTTATTTTGTTAAGAAATGTTATAATGCTTTCTTTTTCTCTCTTAAATTAATTTCTTTTCTTTTTAAAATAAAAAAAAAAATTATTTTAATCTAATAACAAGTTTTTTTTATTGATAATTATCTTGAAAAAATATTAAGCAATAATTTCTTAAGATAGAAGACTTGTTTTAAGCAATAATTTCTTAAAGATATAAGTCTTGTTATAAGTATTTTGAATATTTTTAATTAACAATAAATCAATAAAAATTAAATAATTTGTTTAGTTATAGATAATAGTAAAAAATTTATTCTAATATATTAAAATTAATATTGAAAAATTTTTATTTATCAAAACAAACTTTTCAATTACTTTTTTTTTTTTCTTTAATTTTTTAAAAAATAAAATTTTTTATTTCTTAGGATTACAAGTTTATATTGAAATAATAGTCTAAATAAAAGCTGACTTTAATTTTTCAAAATAAAAATTTTGATATTTAATTTTAAAAAAAAATAATTTTTATTGTTTCTTATAATCACATCTAGAGAGTTAATATTTAAAAAGTTTAAAATAATTAATATTATATAGTAATAACTTAATAAATCTACTCTCTTATAGTAAAATAATTAGTAAATAACTAAATTATATAAGCAATATAATGGTCTTGATATTAAGGATTCAAGGATTATATACAAATAGGGCTCCAATAAGTACCAAACTGGTATTAAACTGATATCAAAATGATACTGACCTATAGTAAATTTAATATATGGGTTGTGATCCACTCATAAATTTATAATAAATTTAAGTATCAAACTGATATCAAAGTAGTATCGAAGTAGTATTATTAAGAGTTCTATATACAAATTTAAACCTATTAACAGGTATTCTGTAAAGTAGAACTTAGCTTTAATACAGTGCCCTACCAAAATATTGTGAACACTTTTTAAATTTTTATTATTTGAAATTGAACAAATAAATATAACACAAAATTTTTATCACATGTTCAGAAGTCTTAAGATATTAGTTATTAAATTTTTATTTAATTTTATTAGATTGCATGAAAGTTATAAAGAAAAAACCAAAAACTTAATTTTTTTCCATTGATTGAAAATTTAAAGAAAAAAAAAATTAATGAGATTTTAATATTTTATAGGTTCTTTCTCGACAACAATGCAAGCGGCAGTCCGATCAAACATGCTAGTAACCAACCGACGACAATATCTAAGTAATATTCTAGATCACACCTTTTTAACAAAATCATTTAACTCTTTAATATTATTTGGCTTCGGCTCACGGCATAGAGATTTTTTAACCTTAGTCCACAAGTTTTTAATTGGGTTAAGGTCAGAGCTTTGAGGAGGCCAATCCACTGATTTAATTTGTTTTTTTTTCATGAATTCTTTAACAGATTTTGCAATGTGAGGTCTTGTATTGTTTTGTTGGAAAATGGGGTAACTATAATCACTTAATGAAAATTTTTTTAGGATGGGAAAAACATATTTTTGGAGGATCTTGACATATGAGGCACCAGTAACAGAAGATTCAAATGGAACAAAGGGCCCAACACCATACCAGGAGAATCAGCTCCAGTACATTTGACCTAGACTATAACCTACAGTAGGATTCAAGCAATCAGCTACCCATTTCTCATGAGACTCATGTCAAATGCGACTAGAGGAACCTTGGAAAAGACTAACAGTGGTCTTATCTGACCACAAAACATGCTTAAAGTACTGGACAGACCGTTTTTCATGGGTAAAAGTCCAATCATATCTTTTTTGTTAATTCTGTGAGAAAACAAATGGTTTTGAGAAGGTGACACACAATCTTAAGTTTTCATCATGTAATACATGGCGCACGGTTCTGGTAGAAACTTTTTTTTATTTTATTTTATTATAAAGGTTGGTAACTTGAGTGAGATTAAGATGGTGATTGCTATTAGTAACTAAATTTTTTAAGTTTTTGCAATTAGTGGGAAAAAGAATCCTGGGATATCCAGTTCTTTTTTTTTTTTACTTCAATAGTATCCAGTCAACAAACCTACTCATGATATTCCACACAGCAAACTTACTGTATCCAACAGTAGCTGAAATAGCACGAACCAAATCTCTTCGCTAGTAACCATAAACTATTACACTTTTTTGACTTTCTGTCAAATCTCTATTGCTACCCATTGTCCATGAGAAGATAATCTTTATTTAGTTAATTACATCACATCCTTATATAACCATGTTCTTTTAATATTATGTAATCTTACCTATGTGCCATACAACATTTGAGTGAAGTTTGAAATGATTTTAACAAGAATTTGATTTTTCATAAATTTTTTTTTAAAAAAAAAAAATTCAAGATCGATCGCTGGCTAGTTCCAAAAACTACAAGTCATCATGCTTTTTACATAACTTCTGTGCAACCTAATGAAACTGCATGAAATTTTAGCAAATACATGTAATACCTTAAAATTTATTAAACATGTAACAAATTTTTTGTGTTATATTTATTTACCTGATTTTAAATAATAAAAATTTAAAAATGTTCACAATATTTTGGTAGGGCACTATATAATATTATATTATATATTATATTATTGTTGTCTAAAAATTAGATTAATAAATATTAAAACTTGTAATCTAATTAGAAACAAATATATACAGTATGGTCTATAAGTATCCAAAATTAAAAAATTACTTGCTATATCATAACCAATAATTTAAATTATATAAAATTTATATATTATGAAGGCTAAAACTAACCAATTTATTAAACTATTTTTAATACGAAATACGATTGCAATTTCTTTCAATAATAAGTTCACAATGTTAATTAGAATAGATTTAGGAATATTTCTTCATATTTCTATCATAAAATGATGTAATTTATCCAAATCTTTCGATATATACTTTTCTACAGTGTTCTTGACAATGCTTCAAAGATTTTTAATAGGGTTTATATCAGAACTGTTAGAAGACCAGTCCAAAACTTCAGGTATATTCTCCTAAAGAAATGCCTTAGCAAGACAACTCATATATTTCAGGTCATTATCTTATTAAAACTACTATTTATCATCTAATAATTGCTTAATCTTTGGAATATGTCTGCAAAGAATATTGGCATAAAGTTTGGTATCTATAATTTCTGAAAAACAAAATAAACTACTTTTATCCCTTATACAAAATCTTTCCTATACGAAGATCTTTATTTGATTCTTAGGCAAGTGTCGTATTGGTTATGCTCCTTTATACTAGCACTCCACTGTATTTTGAAAGAGTAAAAAGGTTGTCTTATCTAAAAAAAATATATTATTTCAATTGTCATCTAGATGCTTTTGGACCCATTTCACACTTTATATTTATAAGTGTCAGTAAACATTGGAGTTGCTATTGAAAGGTTTTTTTTGTATCTAAGAGTTACCAAATGCCTTCCAATTGTTTGATGAAATACTTTTATATTGATTTTTAACAACTTTGCCACCAGGGTTCTCATTGAAATAGATGAATTTCTTCATATACATTGTCCTAATGTCTTTGATGCTTCTGCTATTATCTTCTTGAACCTATCTTTTCTTTCAGCATACTTATTCGTATTATTTTTTTTTAAGTTTATTGATATTCTCGTATATTTTAGACAAGACTATATTAGTTATATATTAAATTTCTTTAACATTTTGAATTCCTTGAGTCCACAATTGTAAAATAAATTAACTGTTAGTTTATTGCTTAGAAATTATTATTATATAGAAGAATTTCTCAAAAAAAAACTAATTATTAGTATCACAAAAGAGCACACGAAGATTTTTACGTATCTGCAGATTTTTTTTTATCTTAGATCATGAAAATCAATTTTAATTTGACAGAATTACATTTTTTTTTTTCTGCAACTAATTTTTTGGATACTTATGGACCACACTGTATATATTGTATATATATCTTTTATTAATAATAATTAATATCTAATCTATATATTAAGTATATTCTATATATGAAGTTATTTTTATATTAAAGTATATTATTTATGTTCTTTATATTAGTAGAGTTAATATTATTTATTAATTATTATTAATAATAGTTAACTTAATTTATCTCTAATCCAACTATGTAAACTTATACTATAAGTGGATTCACATGCCAGATAGGACTAATTCAGAAGATAAAAAGTCTTGTTACCAATTTAAACACATCCAAATCTATTAATTCAATATGTTATAAAACCCCTGAACATCCTATTTAATAATTTCTCTTTTTACTAATAGTCTTTATTGCATCATTAAAAGTAAAAATTAATTCAATTTACTTAAAATATTAAAAAAAAATCTTGATTCTATTTGAAAAGACAAAATAAATATTAGGTGTTATTGTTGATTTATTAAAAATACATTAACAGTTAATAACTTTTAGCAAGTAAAAGAGCTTGAATCAAAAAAAATTATCAGAAACAATAAATAGATGATTCTTAAGAATCAAGTAAAATCATAAAATCTGTTCATTATTTGAGTTCTCTTTAAACTGCAAGAAATAATAATTGCCGCTCAAAACATGTTTTTAATCATTTTTCGCATTATTTCTATTTTTAAGATTATTATTAGCATTTCATGAAGGACTATACAAGTTCATGGGAATAAGGTAGCATAGTTTTCCGTTTGATCAAGTGTAAAAAATCCATCAAGCTGTGAAATATCATCCACTTTCATCATCTCATCCACTTTCATCATCTCATCCACTTTCATCATCTCGTCTACTTTCATTATTTCGTCTTCGGTAGTCTTAATTCTAGCATTGTTTAATAATGATTTCAATGTCCACCTGACTAACATTGGAACGTCTTGACAAATTTGCAGTACTCGTGTCAAAAGTTCATCTGTTATGACACGGTTATCGTTTCTTTCACCAAGTATTTGCGGTAAGACATAAAGCCGAGAATCTTCTAAAATAGTGATCTGTAGAGAGACCGACGCAACAATTTCTGGCACCTGGAAAGTAACAGACAGGGAATTAGGCGGATCAATTATCTGTACATGAACTTGAATGTCTGTTGGCTGACTTTCTGTATCATTCCAAATTTAAGGAGTTAATAGTTATTATCCGACAACACGTTTAAAATGATAACATATTAAAACAACCTTCAAATATCGTAGCCTCAGCAGACGTGTTCTGAGATTTGGAGAATGGTTTATATGTAGAAGAGTTGAAGCAACTTTGAAAAAGCGTGTTAAAAACTAGTTGTCGGCGTAAAAACTAATTTAACAAGAAAATATAATTACGTTAATTACACTAACAACAATAAAACTAATGAAATATACATCAGCATGCTTCAGCTAACCTTGAAAGAACTGAAAATTTGGTAGGGATGAATGAAAGGAATACGTTCGATCTTCTTTGCATCCGTGTGAGATTTTGTGTCATAAGAATAAACTTGAACATATGGTGAATCGTCAAATTTCTAAAATAGGTATGAATCCCAAATATTGAGTCCTTATGAATTTCACATCACAAATCACATGTAATTTTGGGGGCAGCAATACCTTTTCCCATCGTATTTCCGAACTTGTACCGCGATCTGATGAACTTGATTTCACCGATGATATCACATCTTCTATCTATTACTCAATCAATTATACGAATATGAATCGCTTATGGTGAATTTTTCGTGTTTGAATAGTACTCACCAAAAGTTGCTCTAATGATAAACTTTGAGGATCTCTCTTTTCAGATCCGCTACTAAAAAAAAAACCTAAGTATAAGGAATAATATTATTTAAATAACGTTCACTATTCGAATAATAAGGGAAAACTATCAGTATAACAAGATTTTCATTTACCAGACAAACTTCCAATTGCTTTAGCAATGGTATCGACTGCGTACACAGGCGGTTCAAGCCATGAAACAAATTGTACAAACGTTGAACCAATGGAGTTCTCTTTGGGTTGTAAAAATTTTAAAGGGGTTGGTAATAGGAGAAATGTGATATCGTCTGGCACAATATCATATCTGCAAGAAGTTAGAAATCAAGTTTTATAAAAGCAATCATAATCATGATCATTACCTCTGCATTAACTCAAATTCGTCATCATCTTCGTCAATCAAATAATGATTTCGTTCGGGAGGCAAAAATACTTGAGCGGATCTGGTCTCTTCCATCGTAATCCATAGACGATGGAAATTCCGCATATAATTGTGATTTTCGCCTAGGGACCAAATAATTAATTATTTTGGTTAATTTCATGAAATAAATGCATAGAAAGTTTCCAAACCTTTCTCCATAACATATTTGACAACGTCCCAATCCATTTCAAGGATACGAGATCTCGGAGCCCAGTACGCAATAGAAGGACCCACTCGTTCTACGTGAAACAACGGAATTCCATGACCATCTGTCATGATCTTAGGAATATCCCCTCCTGAAGCAGAACTACACAATAAAACGTAAATTTGTTACCTAAACATTATCTAGATAAAGAATGGTATATAAATAATCAGAACTTACAATTCTTTATCATATATTGACTTAATGTCATTAGCTATGCACTTGATGCACAGAAAGCAATCTAAGGGGTGATTGATTTTGGACAGAGTATCCAAAGTAGCTAGTGCTTGAAGATTTTTTTGAAATAATTTAAAATTCTTGAAGTCACTTATATGATGAGCAAATGTTAAAGGAATATTAGAATAAAGTTAACATCCAAAAATTAAATTTTTCAAATGGACTTCAAACTAACCTTAATTGTTGTGTGAGAAGATTGTCAACCTTTTTTATAATTATGGATAAATGTCAATCTAAACGTTAAAGTAATTTTTGCGTACAAGAAAATCATGAGACATGAACTCACAAGGTCATCTTTATCATTCTGATGAGATTCGGATGCAATATTGATTGTAACTTTGATGATTTTATTAGCAGCCTCGTCAAAGTTTATCTTCATAATACATTAGAAATAGGGATGGTATAAGGTTAATATCAATTCGCGTTGTATTGGGGAATTATTTTAATTGCAATTTATTAATAATAAGTTAGCAGTTGAAGAAAAAGAATTCAGCTTACGTCCATCACAATAATGGATCCCCACATCGACAAAGTGCCTTCAATATCAGTATTAATTCGAAATCTATATTGAATTTAAAATGTTGGTAAATAAAAGAACGACAAACATTGCCTAATTATCGGCGTATTTCTCAATAATAAATAGCAGAAATCTTTCTCATTACCCTAATTTCTTCGAAACATCGGTCGTCTGTTGGATCACAAATTTGAACGTATTTTGACACGCGTCTAAAGCCAAATTCTTGCAAATTTTGATATTTTCTTGTACTTCTGATAACGAGTTGAGATTTTTCGATTCGTCCTTAATAAAAAATCCTTGGAATTTCAACAAAATCACTTACTTCTTCAGATAAATTGTCAAAATTCATTATTTACCTTGAGATAACTAAGGTATTTTTTGACCATTGGATCCATTCCTGTAATTTGCGCGATCTCTTGCACCGTGGTTCTTTGATAACTCGCAATTAGCGAACTTATCGATTCTATTTTTTGAGAAAATTCCTTGGAGAGTCCGACCACGTTAATAGGTCCAAGCGGATGAACAACTTGATAGAAAAGTTATATAATCGTTCAGCAACTTTTGTTAATGGAAACAGAATTTTTAATAGGTTGTATAAGATTAACATTAACCATTTGCAATTGCAACTGCCTCCTTCGATCTATCGCCGGTCGTCCCGGGACTTTTTACTGGTATATTCCATTGCTCTTGCGCGTTTTTGATTAGATCGCGTAATTCGCGAATTAAACTGAGTATTTTTTTCGAGTTTGTTTCAGCCATTTTTCAAATGCTTATCCGTTTGAACCAAAGTTTCAACATTATTGGTCATTTATCACATGATATAAGTATATACGCTGACCAATCAAAAATATGCGTGCAGTAATTTATTTATTTATTTTTTTTTTTGTAGGTAAACATCATTTCTTTATTTGATTTGTATATAGCATGATATATAGCATGGTATATATCATGAAAGAAACAACATCTCTCATGTGTTGGTACAATGAGTTAAATGCTAGCTTGCCTACAGTAATCATACAACTAATATTGAAAAGAAAGTTTAAAACAATATATCTTGTCAGATGGCATCAAGTAGCTATGAATACCTACTTAGTGTCAGGAAAAATAGAGTTGAAATTAGCAGATAGAGTTGTTAAGCTATAAATACATTTGGAGTAATTATATTTAGATTGGATGAATAAATTAGCAACAGTAAAAGGTAAGTCAATAATAATGTTGTCTTGTAGGTTGTTGGAGTTATTTTTGATTTGCAAGATTTTTTTGGTTTCTGGATTGGTGAAGTTAATTGAATTATATATATGACTTAGCATGGTTCCACTTGATTCCAGTAAGAGGTGAGGTGTTGGCTGTGAAGCAATGTGGTTTCCAAATTAGGTCATATAACAAGGTTAAAGATTTTGTTATTGCCTTGATCCAGTTGGCAGGAGTTGAAGTAAAGAAAATTTTGTCTATAACTCCACGTGACAATTTGACAACTTGTCATATATGTGAAATTGGTTTGTGATTATTGTTTGGATGGAGAGTTTGATTAATAGTTTTTATGATTTGTTCAGTTGCTTATAATGCTTTCGGGCATTTAAAGACATGTTGAATATCTTTAGTGTAGAGCTCGTATTGTGGACAGAGTGTATCTGGGTATTAGTTAGGGTATAGTTGGTGAAATGTAAGATGAGTTGGAAGAGTTTCCAAAAGCAATTTAACTTTGAAGGCTACTAGAGTGCTGTACTTGTTGTTATGAAATTCTCTGATGTTTTTGTTAAATTGGTTAATAACTTTTAGACTGTGTGGAGTATATGTTCGTCTGAATATTTGGATGACTAAGAAGTTTTCACATATTATATAGTCTCTGGTAATGCTGAAAATTTTCTTGCGTACAGTAATTTATTAATTTATTATATATCTTTAAAATACAAAAAAAAATAACAAAATACAGTATATCATATTTGTTAATTCTTAATTGACAATATTTATCACTAAGAATATTTATATAAGTTGAAAAACTTCTTTTTAAATCAACTCTTGATATTGAAAGTCAAATATACTGTATGTTAAAAAGTTATATTAATTTATAGTATAATAAATTTTTTTTTTAATGTTAAGTGAGGCATTTCTCACGATCTTTATTAATAGAGTAAAATAATAATTGTTACATGATTAA